AAGAGAAGAATCAAACAGGACTGCAAAACTGCTATGGTCTACCTTCCTTACATCAAGGGCTTATCAGAAAAGATTCAGTAAATCTGTAGTTCATACAGAATCAGGACAGTATTTAGAAGCAACTTGACCCTATGGAGAAATATCTACTGAGTCTAGTCTAAGACAACAGTGAACATAACCAATAACTGTGTGTACTCCATTCCTTGCAGTTATGACAAAGACTATAAAGGTGAAACTAGCCACCCTGCAAAAGTAACACTGGAGGAACGTCACAAAATCAAAATTAGGTACAAGACAATGAAATCATTCATGGCTGATCATGTATGGAGATAAAAGAGATCATCAACCCTTGTGGAATGAAGTAAAAATACTAGATTCAAAAGATCAACATATATGAGGACCTCTTAACTAAGCTTAGCTATAAATACAAAAACAGTTTTTAAAAAGGAGAAATGACAGCAAGGCTTCAATAGCAGCAACAGCCACATCATCTTTGGATTTTATCAAGGATCTCTAAATATATAGCAGGAGCACCAGCAATATTCAAAGCAGGGATGAATGGTAGACTTGTAAATATGAAAGATAGTTTCTCCAGGGAAGAAATTGTCTTGCATAACACACTGAACCAACTTTCCTATCAGTAGGCCTCGCAACTCATTCAATATAATCCCTCCACTTCATGTTAGTAGAGAACTTTAGCCTGAGAAGTTGCAATGTGCCACTCTCCTTGAGGTTAAAATCAGCCATGCTGATGGAAGGCAGAAAGTGGTCTCTCAGATGATTAATAAAAAACAGTTTTGTTTTGAAGACATTAGAATTAAGAAGCCATTCTTTTCCCCAGTTAACAACAGATTTTAGTTCACTTTTGAGATCAGCTGCCAATCTAACCTTATCAGACCAACCAGACTTACTATTAAGACAGGAGTCAATAGTTGCATCATCAGCACAGATACCAAGTTGAAACTATCAAGGAGGTAGATCATTGGTAAAAATTAGGAACAATGTACATCCAAAGATAGAGCTCAGGGGGGACACTTGCATTAATACAAAAAAAGGTCTAGAAGAGTGGCTGTTCAGTAATTGTGTGCACAATCCCAGAGGTGGCATTACAAAAATAGTACAAAACTGTCATATAAACTACAGTTCAAAAGTTTGAGAAAACCCAAGGTGTTTTTTAAATTGGCCCAAAAGTAGTTGTTTTGTACTTTAAATAAGAGAAAATTATTATAAATGGTTAAAAAAAAAATGAGATATTAATTCTCATTAGAAATTTTATTATGACTAAAAGAAAAAAAATCATTTTATGATAAAATTTTGCTCTCATCAAAATATCCTCTTTTAACCTTTATTACTGCAGCATGAATTTTTGGTATTTGTTGCAAAAGTTTCTTATAGTATAAGTTTCATTGTATTCTTTTTTCAATAACTTTAAGAGCTGTTTTTCATTTTTTTTTTTTTTTTTTTTTACTCTTCTGCCAAGTTCATCCCATGCTAATTCTGGGGGTGACTTCAAACTTTTGATCGGTAGTGTATATATTAGAAAAAATACAATTGTAGATGAATGCTGAAGATGAAATGGAAATTTGGGAAAAATATATTGGCTTGCATTGAATATTTTACAAGATGCAATTTGTTTATTGTGGAAGAAGTAATTTTATTTAATTCCTTGGACACAGCAGATTGTTGAATAGATGATTTGAGATAATCTCCAAATGCTAGCATAAAAAGAAATATTTATTGTACCACCTGCCTACTGATTAGTGAATAGCAGGATTGGTGCATTTTTGTATATATATATATATATATATATATATATATATATATAATTTTTTTTTTTATATATATATATATATAGCAACTAGGATGCAAGGGTTACAGAAAGTTTAGAGCAAGATGATAGGAGTGATAGAAGAAAGGATATAGTGGATAATTTTTTTTTTGAATTGGAGATTTTCACAGGGAAACAGGAGAAGGAAGGGACTTCCACAGGCAAGAGGTGGAGACATGAAACTATTAGGAGTAGAAGAGACAGCTACATTTAGGAGTTTTGACAGTGAAGGGGTGAGAGCGGGATGCCACAGAAAGTTTATGACGCCTGGGAACCAAGATCGGAGCAATCCATGAAAGTATTTAGAACAGACAGAGGAGGGAAGGTGTCTGGAGAAAGTGATCAGAGAGCAAGGCAGGGCCATCTACATTGAATATCCATTGAGCCTATCAAGAACCCTTGCAAACAGAAGGGCACCAGATATGGCAGCTCATGCAAGGGTGAAATTGATTTGGATCTGGAGGGAAGGGAGAAAAACTTCCTGGCGCGGCTCAGGGAGCCAAGAGGTGGATGAGGACATATATATATATATATATATATATATATATATATATATGTATGTATAGGTATATATATAAGATCATTAAGACTGACTTCATTACTTTTTTTGAGACATGATCTTAAATAGCGTCATTAGATCAAGACATTCATATGGATGCAATGCATGGTGTCAAACCCACTCACCAATATCTAAACTGTCAGTTGTATACAACTGCTTCTTCAGTTGATCAAATAAAGCCTGAAGGTCTTGGCAAAGAACATCCTTCTTTAAACATTGTGGACAGAAACACATACAAAGAACTGTACCAAATAGCAGAAACCAAATCACTTGAGAACTACCAAAGCAGCAACAACTAAAATGGATAACAGATGTAATTCAAAGAGGAAATAATGACATAATGAAGATGTTAACATTCCACAACGCTTCAAATAGAAGGTTAGGAAGGAAAACTCTGTCAGTATTGGAAAGAGCAATAACAGATACTGGAATTGAAAAACCATTTTTCCTTAAAAAGTGTTTTAAGAAAAAGTTTTTTAAAATTTCAACTGTAAGTTGTACAGGCTGCTTGATCAATGAATGCCAAATGTTCCCTAATAGGGAAATGGTTAATATTTCCACTACCATTATCATTTATCATTATTGAATCAAAACTTGTAGATTTAACTTGTAGGTGATATACATTGCGATTTCAAACCAAACCCTGTATTTAGTCCATATGGATAAAAGCGTTGGTTGAGTGATTCAATAAGTGACTTGTCATCATACACCCCAGAAATATATTCATATTATTCTACACCACTGCAAATGACCTAATTTGAGGAAAAAATAGAAATCAATTACACCCTGTCACTCCAGTGCATCTAAAACTGACTGTCTGATGAAAGTAAGGAAAGTAAAGCAATTGCTTTAATTAATAGATATAAGAGTTGACCATAACAGAGCGAACAAAACTTGGAGAGTTGAGTTATTAAAGGGAATTAACTGAAACTGAGACATCCAAAAAGTACATGAAATTAGAACAATCTACCCCAGTGGACTATAAATAACTGTTTGGTTCAAAATTCCAACATGTATCACCTGAAGAAGGCCAGAGCGTACAATGGCTGAAACATTATGAATATGGCAATAAAGACATGGACAACAGTGTGAACGTTGTAAATAGGGTAAATAAATGGATTACTGTAACATGTATAACCAAATCCTATATCAATTATGCCACAGTCCCAAAGGACATTGGTGGCGTGATTTTGGATCCTTTTATATTCAATGTGGATAGTTTTTGATATTTGGTTATGATGTCAGGTTTGTACCACTTTTTCATAATTTAGTATTTCATTTCATATTTTTATTTGTTTAATCCAAGTACTCTCTGGTTATCATCAGATATCCCATATCAGCCAATCAATCAACACCTGATGATGACCAAATGATACTTGGCCGAAATGTTGTGCCGATATTAACATCTCTATGAATAAAGATGAGAACAATAGTTCAAAATAATCTAAGAATATTGACAATAACTCATCTCAGAAATGAAATAATAAATTATGTCCAGGTTTAATTTACTAACATTTTTTATTATATAAGTATATATTTTCCATCTCACAACTTTTATATCTATTAATGGAAACAACTGCTTTAATTTCCTTTATTTCACTATATGGTCAGTTTTAAACCCACTGGGGTGACAGGGTGTAATTGATTTCTATTTTTCCAAAATTAGGTCATTTAGTGGTGTGCAGTAAATGAATATATTTTGGGGTGTATGATGTCAAGTCACTTATTGATCACCAACCAATGTTTTTATCCATATTGGATTCAGTGTTTAGTTTGACAAATATATCACCTACAAGTTAAATCTACAAGTTTTGATTCAGTTATGACAAATGGTAATGGTAGTGGTAATATTAACCATTTCCCTATTAGGGAACATTTGGCATTCATTGACCAAGCAGCCTGTACAGCTTACAGTTGAAATTAGGGATATATTATATGTGTTAAAACTTTTCAGTCCCACTCCAACAAATACTGTAGATATGAGATTAGGTAGGATCTCATAGAACAAATTATTCTATCTATTTAAGATGGTCTTGTGTAAATGTAATGTCTTAGTGGTAATATTCAAGTAAATGGGTCAGTCATTGAGACAAGCTAAGTTAACAATAGGACAAGTGAAGACCTACCCACCTCCTCAGCCATTGCCATTGTGGTATATTTGTATATTTATATAAAATAAAAAATCACCTTATGAGATTGTAACCAAAAATTCCAAAAGTCTTTTACCTGATTGGGTATGGCTAAAAAAACTATGGAGTTTGAAATTTTTGAGTTTTCCTTCTCATGAATGGATTGCTTTCCCAGTCTGATGAGTTCCATCTACTTAATTTGATGATTGATTGGTTTTGTTTAGCAGCATATCAACACCTCTATGGGCTATTTAATGCCAAAATCTAAATATTTTATAGGCAATTTTTTTGCAGGGGGAGAGATAATAATTCTATTAGTGATACAAATCTTACTAATTAACCAATAGCTAAGAGAAGAAGAGGTGGACTCATACCTTTCCCAAGGGTATTTGCACATAAATAAATATAACAAACTTAACACAAATTGGAACTCAGATCTCTGATTAACAATTCTGAGCCATATTACACTATCGACAGATTCAAGCTTGCAGAACTTGGTATTCCCAAGCTTGCTCTCATTTAGGTACTGACCAAGTTCAATGTTGCTTAACTTCTGTGATCATATGAGAACCAGTGTTTCAGTATGATGTGGCCATAAGCCTACTTCATTTGAATATTGCCTCTCCCATTTCATATCCATATTTTGCGTTCTGAGTTAAAAAGTCAGTGCTATGCATGATACACATTTAGGCGATCATGCATCTTTTGATACATGACTGTCAAGGCAGATTTTTTCCAGCAGTAGGTTGCCATTTCTATCTGCAGTAGAGCAGTTGCCATCCAAGGCTATAGAAACCAGTCTGTCCTGCTATTTACCCATAGCTGAGGGGAGAAATATTCATACTTTTCCTAATGGTATTAGCACAGAAGTGAATGTAATGGATCTGACTGGAATTTGAACTCAGCTCTTTGATTTGTCAATCCAAGCTGCATTCTGAGTATATACCCATTAAAAAGTAATGGTTCTACATTGCTTAAACCAAACATCCAAACATCCTTTGTTCCAGCCTCAAAACACATTCCAAATATATCAATGAAAAAGCAATTGCTTCTTACATTTCAAGACAAAATATTTGGGCACATTGAGCCCCATCATCCAAAAGGCATGAACAGATCTGATAAAATATTGTTTTCTGATTGCTTAACAAAAAACATCCAAATACTTTTGAATTTATCTGTTAAAAAGTGTTGTTTCTTTATTATTTACTAGAAAATATTTGAATATATTGTGTCTGAGCCTTGTGAGATTATCGGTTAAAAGGTGAGGTTTCTTTACTGTATAACAGAAAATATTTGAATACATTGTGTCTGAGCCTTGTGAGATTATTGGTTAAAAGGTGAGGTTTCTTTACTGTATAACAGAAAATATTTGAATATATTGTGTCTTAACCTCCAAAAAGTATTTTTTATTTATTTTTAAAAAAATTGATGTTTCTTTGTTAACAGAAAACATCCAAATACTTTTTTGTTTTAGCTTCCAAAATGTATTTTGAGTTTATTCATCAAAAAAGTGATTACTTTTATTGCTTTATACATTACAACTGAATTATTATTCCTAAAATTAAGTATACTTTTTATCCTCCAGTTGGTGTACTTTTGTTCTTTAGAACTAACTTATTGTTTAGTAACATTTTTGGTGAAAAGTAAAAAATAAAAATAAATTAGCTGATAAGTTAATCAAATTGAACAACTCAAATGATTTCTATATGAATAAAATGGATGCAAATGATGTTCTCAAGAAAATCCGTATGTGAAAGGAAAAAGAAAACTGAAAATGAAAATAGAAATGTCATTGTTTGTCTGAATTTTTTTTTTTGTTTTCTTACTGTTTTATTTGATTTTTAATTTGCACAAATCTTTGCTATGAGAGTAATTTCAAAATTTCAATCACAAAAAATTGTATTTGTAAATATCAAGCAAATATTGTTCTTCCACTAAAAAGATTTAAACAACAAAGACATTGAACTTCTTTAAAATGTAAAACTTCTGCTTTCTTTGTTTTATAAAGGTTGCCGAAAAATACAAGTAAAATGTTAATAGTTATCAAATTATTCCAAACTCATTCACTTTTAATATTCTGGATTCTTTTAGAGAGAGATAACTATTTTTCAGTTTTTTGTTTGCTTTGTTCATAGATGAGCAGAGAGATTAAAAAAAACATTCTATTCAATTAGATCAATTACTAAACTGTACAGGGCGGGTCAGAAAAATAACATGAGTGAAGTGACAAAAAATTAATGTCAAATTCTAACTACAAACGACAAGTTTTCCCTTTCAAGAATTATGTCCCTTGATTCTAACACACTTTTCCATCCTTCTCTGCTATGCCTCCATGCACTCCTGGGAGGATTCCCCCAGGGTTCTCTGCATCTCCATCACCATGGACCTTTTGATGGCTTCCATGTCCAGAAAACTGATCCATTGATGACTCCCTTGAGCATGGGGAAAAGGACAAAATCACACAGTGCCAGGTTGGGTAAGTAAAGAGGTTGCTCCAGCACAGTGATGGTCATCAAGGGAACCTGTTTTCCAGTCATGGAAGCCATCAACAGGGTTGTGATGAATGAGCTGTGGATAATTCCAAGAGAATCTTTCCAGGGTTGAATGAAGGCATGGCAGAGAAGTATGGGAAAGTGTGTTAGACTCAACTACTTGTAGTTTGAATTTGACATGAAGTTTTTGTGACTTTAGTACTGTTTCTTTTCTGATACACCTCATATATTAAAGACAATTATAATACATGGCCAGCTGCATGTATTCAAGTATGTTTGTCTGCTAGAATAGGTAATTAATCCCTGCTGCAGACACCTGCTCTGGCACATTTGCTATTGGTTCAACACCCACAGAGCCAACCTGTAGTTTATGCTGAAGCTATGTTGTGCAGACCTTTATTATGGATGAGAGTACATAATCTGTCATGATCACCAGTCTAAACAAAGCCAGTAGGCTCAGTCATGATGACTTGTAACTTAATGCTAGCACAACCATCAACAGCTTCTAAACATTTCTGTCTAGCCCATTTCACACACAAGGTTGTGGTAGGGTTTTCAGACACATGGTGCCACATGCTGAGATCATGTCACTTGACTTTGCTAAAAAAAAACATCTCTAGGAAGCACTGTTTAAGCTTATAAAAAAGCTTGCATTTGTCTCCCTAATCTCTCTCCTCTTTTAAAACTTCTGGCTATAAGATGTAGTCAAACATGGGAAAAAATATGTCCTCCCACTGGGGCAGGTTTATATTCATGGTTTTACATTTTTCTCTCGACTTTTGTACTCTTTCACACGTGTCTCTCCCATAAGCCTATATGAATTGCAATTCATTTTGTCAATACATGAAATTAGTTGTTGTTTGTTTTATATTGCTTTATATTGTTTTATATTGCTTCATATTGTTTTATATTGCTTTATTTTGGTTTATATTGCTTCATATTGTTTATATTGTTTTATATTATTTTAATTTGCTTTATATTGCTTTATATTGTTTTATATTTTTATATTGCTTCATATTGTTTTATAATGTTTTATTTTGCTTTATATTGTTTTATATTGTTTTGTGTTAAAAAATAAAGAAATAATCTTTTGTTGGATCCCAAGCCACCCTGGTATACCAGGAAAGGACTAAGCTATGAAAGATACAATAGCAAAAACAAAAATACCATATACCAACTATAAAGCAGTAGTGAATAGAATTATCTTTAAGAAGTAGCAAAATCATTGGGCTAAATACACTAATAACAAACTACAAAACATAAAAACTACCATTGGAGAATGAAACACAAAATTCAAGAATAGAAGAGAACAAGTTGTGTTGACCTGCCTTCACATAGGCCACATCTACTTCACCCACCATCATTTACTGGAGGGCACAGAATCCGCCATACGTACTAAATGCCAAAAAAGATTCACATATACTGCTTGAGTGTACAAACTTGAAGTGAGTGCGGAAACAATATTACCAAACAAGTAATTTGAAGAAATTCTTTATGGAAATAATACCATCTAGGATACTAGATTTTATAAAAGCAATTGGAATGTACTCAAAAATATGAGTGGCCGAATAGTACTGCATATATATATATATATATATATATATATATATATATATATATATATATTCTACCAAACTATGCTAAAATCCATTCCAAAACAGCATCAGCCTTAAATGACCTACGGAGTTTGATATGCCGTAAAACAAAATAACCAACCAAAAATCTCCCCACCCCTAGTTGATATTATCAAGAAGTCATCTTCTTGACAAAATGAGTTGAGATTTGAACCCTGGCCTAATGTTAGGTACAATAACAATCTAATCATTCAGCCATGCACTCATAAAAGACAGTTATATGAAAATATTTAAGATTATTGTTTTTTAAACAAAAATGAGGACGTTAGTCCAATTGTAAATAATTAAAAATAATTAATATATATGGTTTCTTACGTGAATACTTTGAATGACATGAAATAATGGTGGTGGAAAATGTACATGCAAAAAATAAGAGAGACCAATTGATTTACAATGCAAGATAACATTTATTAAACAAAATAGCAAAAAGAAAGTTTAAGACAAGAGTTTATTTGCCGAAAAGTAAATTACATAGACAACGTAAATTGTTAACGAATGTATTTGAGTATGATTGCCTGTGTAGGTGAGTGTTGTAGCATACCTACAGACAATAATGGGTTGGTCCCCATTCACATAAATACAGTAGTAAATACTGTATGTTGGTTTGCAGTTGGAGATTCCTTGTGGAATTCACTTGACACACTCCTAGCAGTTGATTCCTTCTGCTACACACAGCTGGCAAATCATATATGTGTTGTTCATGTCCTAAGTATTATCATTCATTATCAACCTTCATTTAATTATCCTAGTCAGTAACCTTTTCTAGGTTACAACAGTGTGTTAGCATGTGAAACATTGACAGCCTAGACCACCCCTTTTTGTTTCACTGTGAAAAGTTGATGGCACACTTCAAAAAGAGAGAAAACCAGAACAGAGAGGTACTTAAAGTTTCACTTGTTTTTATACACCAGGGTTGCTGCTGCTACTATGTTTATTAAGGGCTGCTGCTGATACTATGTTTATTAAGGGCTGCTGCTGATACTATGTTTATTAAGGGTTGCTGCTGATACTATGTTTATTAAGGGCTGCTGCTGCTGATACTATGTTTATTAAGGGTTGCTGCTGATACTATGTTTATTAAGGGCTGCTGCTGATATTATGTTTATTAAGGGTTGCTGCTGATACTATGTTTATTAAGGGTTGCTGCTGATACTATGTTTATTAAGGGCTGCTGCTGATACTATGTTTATTAAGGGTTGCTGCTGATAATATGTTTATTAAGGGTTGCTGCTGATACTAGGTTTATTAAGGCTTTCTGCTGATACTATCTTTATTAAGGGCTGCTGCTGATACTATGTTTATTAAAGGCTGCTGCTGCTGATACTATGTTTATTAAGGGCTGCTGCTGATACTATGTTTATTAAGGGTTGCTGCTGATACTATGTTTATTAAGGGCTGCTGCTGCTGATACTATGTTTATTAAGGGCTGCTGCTGATACTATGTTTATTAAGGGTTGCTGCTGATACTATG